ATTTCTATAATCCTCACACAGGAATATGTGACGTTTAGCCCCAAATATCCAGAGTGCCTCACCAAACAGGTGAAGTGCATAAAAAACTGCCAGACATGATTAGTGACCAGCACAAGCAGAAATCAGAAACACAACACTTTCAGTTTTCATCTGCCACAAGATACAGAGTGGAGGTCAGGGTCAAACACACAACACAGGGAGCTGTTGTTGTTGTCTAATGTGTTTCAGAAATTCTTTCTTTTTATTTCATCTTTTTTGTGCTTTCAGCGGCTGTTTGGTTAGTTTTAGGCACCAAAGCGACTCCGAACAGCGAAAATAGTCACGAACTGATTTAAAATGGGTCCTTTCACAACCATAAGCACACATCTGAAGTTTCTTTGTCACCACGTTGGTTTGGCTGAAAAGAGGCAGCAGTGATGAAACCTCGGCTTTGTTGAGAGTTCTGAGGTTTTACACACAGTTATTAACGTCGCTGTCATAAACATCGTTTGTTACACTCGTTAAACAACCGACCAGTGTTTTCACAGCGAGCTGTGCACGTCGTATACTTTTGTTTTGCTTTGTGGTTTTTTTTGTAACTACCTCATATTAAAGGCAAAGTCTACAATTTCTTTTACGACATATGATACATGACATGTATATTACAATGTGACAAGAGTAAAAAGAGTCCTTAGAATAAGTTTCATTCAGGCCGGTTGTCTGAAAGTGAGCAGATAAGTGAATGATGATGTATGAACTGTTGTGTTTGAGCTCTGCGTGTGTTTACTCGGCCACGAGCATTAAACTTTTTATTTCAGGCCATTGTTGACTCAACAAACAGTCGCGTCTGACATAAAAGCTGCACGGCTGCCTTTCGCTTATTTACTGACTGATGGAGAAACAGACGTGCTTTGTCTTTATTACTGTACGACCCTTCAGCCGAGCGTCAAATGCTGAGAAAAGCAGAAACAAAATAACCAGAAAAAGTTTATTTCAATTAAAGTTATTTATGAAAAACAAGATTCCTGAAGAGTTTTCCTCTTCTGCGTCTGATTATGTGAAGTGTAATAAGTCTCACACTCATGCTGTCTGTGTGTCTCGTCAGCAGATGTTCGCTTGCGCCAAGTCGCTGTTCATCTCTGATCAGGACAAGAGGAAGCATTTCTGCTTGCTGCTGCGCCTCTTCTTGGGCAACAGACAGGAAGTGGGTTCTTTCCAGAGCCGGATGATCAAAGTCATCTCCAAACCCTCCCAGAAGAGACAGTCCATGAAGAACGCTGATCGTGGGTTTATTCCACTTTTAATCCAACAAATCAGGGATTTC